ATTTTGTGGATGGAACAGGGGAAGATACATTTCGGAATATTGTTAAAATTGCGAGATTCAGTCGAGCCTGATGCATGGCTTCGTGTGGGACAAGAAATAGTTGCAAACACAGATTAGTTTGTGAAGGTAAATATTGTAAAAAACCCGCTTTTGGAGTGTGTTGTAAAAATTGCTGAGTATATATACACTACATAAATTGTTATGTACTACATAATAATATAGTTCTATTTTAGACCCATTCTCTAGAATCGGTCAGAGAGCGGGCAGCTTCTGATTGCATGGACTTGATCAATAACTGTTCATCACATTTTCTCTTTTTTGGACATAAAAAAAGGTGAAATTGCTTCTAGTAATGAAGTTCAAAACTGGGAGAAATATGGACTCGATTAAGAAGTAACTATCTCTTGGTTTATGTTCAAATGTTCTTTTAATAAATTCTAAAAAAAAAAATAAAATAGTTATTCATGTGTTGCTTATTAATTATTTTTTATCATTTTAATTATTTTCTCTATATTTTATATTTTGATTATTCAAAGTTCATTTCAAAGATGTCGTATTAGTATAAGTGGAAGAATAATCTTAAATGATAAATAGTAAATGGAAGAATAAACTAAACTGATGAATAATTCGAAATAAAAAAGGTAATCTTAATTATCATTTAGTCCCAACTGATCGATTGTGTACTTGTATAGTATCAGTTAATCGAGTATTATCGAATAAAAATAAAATCAAACTGAAGGATAACAAGAACCACCAGCCATATGAAAATGAAAGAGGAATAATTAATAAAATATGAACTAACAGACGCAAAATGAAGATGAAAAAGAGGCATTATCATATGAATAAGGAGAATTATATGGTCCGAGGTACAAGGTTTTAATCCTGATAATTACGGATTAAACAACTACATCATAAGACATTAATTATAATGCTAATTTAACTTAATGATTATGACATTCGTTTCACCTGACGAATATTGCGGATTGCCAATTGCATTTTGGCGTTCGATTAATAATTCTTGGCAAATTCTATCTTGGAATATGAGATGATATGATATTTATTTGTGAAGGTCAATTGATGCTTAGACTTCGTGCCAAGTAAATTCTCGATTTTGACTAGTTTTTTGTGAAATAGACACTCCCGCATGTGTGTAACTGTCTTATTCTGACTTGATCAAAATAATGCATCTGGGCTGATCATGCTTTAGTTTTACCTTCTATTGCTCACAATTTTTTTCTTTTTTTATTTTTTATTTTTTTATTTTTCATAATAGTTATTTGTGTGATAGATCTAACCGTAATTAACTTTACAAAAACATATTTCAAGCTGTTGATTGTTAATTGGATTTCATTGGAAAAACAAAGAATCAAGACAGTTTATTTAATGAATAATTAGTTAAAAATATAACGAAAACATTCAATAAAAAATGATGACTACTCGATTGGGTCTTGTCTGAATAACCAATGAAAATCGTGTGTAAGAATAATGAACATTTATGTCATAAAGCATGAGCGGGAAAAAATAATCAATGTAAGTACATTGATGCAATATGAAGCGCTGTTTGGTTGTGAAACCAAAGTTTTTATTTCTTTATTTTTTCTTGGAAATTAACTAAGCATGATGTAAGTTTTTTTTATTTATTTATTTTTTTAAATTAATAAGAGCCCAATGACAATAGGTTTATAATTGGCTTGCTACAGCAACTG